TCGGTGAATCTTGCTTGCGTTGTGTTATGTTGTGTTATGTTCGGATCACGGCATGAAATTTGATTTTGTTATAAATATATGTGGAAAAGCAGCTGAGAATGGTTAGCATAGGGTTGTGTTTGCATGCATTTTTCACCATTTTGTTCTTCAAATTTTGGCTGTTTGTAATATAGACGAGGCTCGTACACACTACACATTCTACAGGCCCTTGTTTGCTCGTTGGAACTTGGAACGAGCCACATTTTGATTTATAAATACATTTTGATTTATAATAAATATGGGAGTGTATTTAATTGAGATTTTTAATGATTTTTTTAAATTTTATGAATTTCACTGTATTTAACTTGTATTTTTGAACTTCTATTCATTTGAGATTTAAAAAATTCTTATAAAATTATAAAGTATTCGTTCTATTTAACATTTGAATTAGTCTAGATTTTTTAGATTTTTTTTGTAACTTCGCCAAGGTTTTAAAGACAAAAACCACAAATTTCACACTAAATCCCCCTCAAGTCATAGGTTTTTCAAAGATTCATTTAAATTGTCTCTCCTAGTAAAAATGCTATAAGATTTCTAGGTTTTCTTTTGTCACTTTCCTTCCAAACCCCTCCAATAAAGAGAATAGGATTTTCAATTGAAAGCCTATCTTCACTTCACAATATCAACAATATTATGCTGTGCAATATCAGTGCTATATAATACAATAACCCTGAAGTCAAGACATAAGGCCAAAAAATGGCCAATTAACCTAAGACCTAAATAACTGCCTTAATGCACAAAAATATCAAATTTAGTCTAACAATGATGTATTCTGTACAATTTTTGAGAGACATAAGAGTGCAAGTGCAGCACCAAATACAATCTAAATGCATGTACATAAATACAATACACTGACGAGGAAAGTTCACTCATCGATTATAGAATAATTTGTAAGAGAATCAAAATTATGAATGTTTTTGTTGAAATAACAATTTTAACATCAATGCTCATCGATTGCCAAAACCTTCCCTTTGCCACACAAAGCGGTGGATTTGCACACAGGGCAACTGTTTTTCACGACCAACCACTTCTTTATGCAATCTCTATGGTATTCGTGGCCACAGTCGAGTACTCCAATATTTTCCCCACACTCATAATCCATCTGCATGAAAAAGCTCGAATTAAATTCATATTTTCACCATGTTTTGCAAGTAACTTTCTGAATTTTCAAGTGCTTGGAAAATGCAACGATTTTGCGCAATTTGTCATGTGAACTATATATAACTTTTTGCGCTGTGCAACACCATAACTTAGATGGAAGAAATTAAACAAGTATTTCAAATTTTTAGCCAAAAAAAAGGGCATATGAAAATATAGTCTATTTAATCATTTTCTATTTGAGGTGGTAAATGAAAAAAAAAAATGTGCAAAATTTTGACGAGAGAACGCAGCTTCAGCACAACATTCTGCGCGAGTCGGGCAAATGAGGGAATTACAACAAAATATTTTACCAACGGACTCTTGGATAGAAAGTTCTTTCTCAACTCAATATTTGTATATTTTCACTCTAAAACTTGGGAAGAGAATAGATTAAAAAAAGAAAAGAAAAACGTACCTGGCACACAACACAAAAGTTGACCTTTTCCTGATCAGGGCAAGGGACAACTTCGAGATTGATACAAGATGGCCCTAAAGTATAACTTCGCGTTTTCAAATTGTATTTAATGAACTCCTCGGATAACCCATTGCCCACACTGCCTATTTGTTCTCCCAATGCAAGAAGCTCCTGTCATGTGATGTCAAAAACNGAAGAAGGAATTGGATTAATTTGCATTTTCCCCACCAAGATGTCGTGAATTTTGCACCTTTGCCCTTACCACTTCGAGAATTTTCTCTTTTTGCATGCATAAATTTGAACATTTTTTGGATGGACACATCTCAACTTTTGGTATGAATTCAAAAAAAAAATAAAATCAGAGGGCAGAATACATATAAATAAGTGACGTGTGCGAAATGCGAAAAAACATGAGCGCAAAAACCACTACACATGATTTATAGCCTAATGTCCAAGAGTTCTTCAATTATATCTAACACATCACAATTAGCACAACACGAAATATCTCACTACCTCATAGGACATGTGATCAATATCCAATCGCAAGTCCCTGTGCTGATCGAGCGGCTCTCCTGCTACATGATATCCAAGAAAATCGAGCATAGCAACCTCCTAAAGATGACAGTAGCCCACAGCAAACATTCAAAATAAATACATTAAACTCGCAGATAAATTCATGAACCACACAATTCATAGTCTAGAAGAACTACAACATAGTAAAAATCAAGAAAAGCAACAGATAAATGGATTACATCATACAAAAACAACCTAGAGGTTAAGTCTGACAAATTTTAAAATTTTGGCCTCAATTGGTGCTTTNTTAAAAAAAAAAAAAAAAAAGATCAAGAACTCTTTCAGAGATAATTGGGTTTCCTTTCGTAATTATGCCAAATATCCAGGATCATTAAACATGGTAGGGAGAAAGAAGAATATTACATCTTCTGGCAAGACTCTCAACTGAGGAAAGCCTCGATTCCTCATGTTCGGGTCGAGCATGATTTCCCCTTGGTGGGGCCCATAGATATGGAAGCCCGTACACGGTACTTGGGCTAGAAATGTGGGCCCAGCTTCCACAGCATCCCGAAAAAGACCTGTGTTTGTATTCGAATACCTAACCGTTGGGATTCCATGTGAAGGAGTTGTGATTTGCCATGGCTGACCCACATTGTATCCTCCGAGCCTTTGCATATGCAGTGCCACTGGATAGCCTTGAACACCTGTATTCCCGGATTCAAGGCAAGCTCGACTGGCGTTAGCTGTGTGTTGATAAATGTGGGAGCTTGAATCAGAACAGTAATTACAAAAACTACCCCCAGGCTTTTCCTAATTACCAAGAACTACGTTAATCCAAATACCCCTGAGTTGTGTTTCTTTGACAAATAGCCCACTATTCAAGATGCAATTTTTAAAAATAGGTAATAAAAAAAGAAAATTTGAGGACACATTTAATTCGAAAACTCAACTAGGTTTCTCTGGAGATAGGGTAGAACATCAGGGATATTATTCGTGAGGGATAACAAAATGTAAGATGAAATCAAACCTTCAAAGGTCCCAATATCGAAACTTCTCAAGGTTTTCCTACAATTAACCCATTCCCAGAAGGTAGTTTCTTCACTTCTTGTACTGAAAATGTAAGAAAAAAATCAAACTTCAAGGTCCCAATTTCGAAACTTCTCAGGGTTTTGAAATCAAACTTCAAATGTCCCAATTTCGAAACTTTTCAAGGTTTTCCTACAATTAACCCATTCCCAGAGGGTAGTTTCTTCACTTCTTGTACTGGAAATGTAAGAAATATATCAAACTTCAAGGTCCCAATTTCGAAACTTCTCCGGGTTTTTCTACAAATTACCCCATTCCATGAAGCTGCTTTTTTTTTTGTACTAATCTCTTTTAAAACTAACCCAAAATCTCAAAATCAAGCTTTAGGAGAAACATCACCGAAAAACCAAAGATCATAAATCAAGACAAGAAGATATTTACCGTGCACATATGGAAAATTAGATGTAGGCTGTCCCCACCACGGGTTGCCCGGCAACTGGACAGGTGGCATAGCGTAACCTTGATCGGGCCCCACCACACGAGCCCGGTTCCTCACACTTCGTGTGGGCCCATTCTCAACCACATCAGTCTCAGAAGAGCTGGGCCCCACCTGAGCATTTTGGAACTGGGGATTAGAGGATGGCCCCTCGAAATTCTTTCTCTTGGACGGGCCCATCATACTGTCACTATAAGCGTGGTTTAATTGAACAGGAAACTCTCTAACGCCAGCTGGCAGTGTTAAATACGGATTGTTGTTGTAATGGACGGTGGGTGGGGAGACATTCAGGTCGAGGTTGTGCTGAGGCATGGGATTTAACAAGGGATTTTCGTGATGTTGTTCGGGAAGAGGAAGGAAGTTGATATTCCAGTGGGGGTAGTTTGGTAAATTCGAGTAGGCAATGCACGGTTCAGGATTAAGGTGGATGTTATGATGGCCTTGATCGGCTTGCATCTCGATCATACGATTGTTAAACTGAGTATTTCGGTGCCCCATTTTGCATGGGATGCCTGTATTTGGATGAGAAAATGCAATTGTTAGTATGAAGGGAGTAAAATAGGACTGTAGAATCGATAAAAGTATCAAAAAAATAAAAGGGACCAATTTTCTATGCAGGGATAGACATGTAAGAAGTAGAGCGAGAATCAAAAACCAGCCGTGGAATACTGAATAGATAAACTCCAAGAAGAGATGAAATATGGTAAAACAAATATAATCTTCTGATTACTCACCGAGAGATCACACTTCCTATTGATTTAAACTTGACGACAAAAGAAGTGTTTTTACGATTTGTAACATGTCATTATAAAGATGAGAGAGAGAGAGAGAGAGTTTTTGCATCGTACCACATCCTCTGCCAAAAACAATCACAATCGGTTACAAAAATATATTTCCATCAGCAAGAGCAGCAATGCTAATGAATGAATATCTACAAACCTCACAAGAGATACCACTAAATGCATGAAATTAAGATGAAGATATTGATATACAAGATAACTCGTAGTGGTAAAAGATTTTTGCATGGATGACCTTTGATGAGCAAATCCTGACAATCAACTTCTTTCGGAGGATTATATAGCAAAAGAATCAGCATATAAGAAAATGAAAAAAAGGAGATCTCTCGAAGTGCAGAAACCTTTCCAGAAATGAAAATTCTACTGATATATTAAAGAAAAGCCATGTACATTACAATAACCACATCTAACGGACTAAGAAGTCGATAAATGGAATGCGGCAGTAAATGTACTAAGATCGAGCCGTGGGACCTAACACCATCCAAAATTAATTTTCTCAACCAACACATACACCCCGATCGACTGGAAAAACCAAATATGAAACCACATTAACGTAGATAAATATTTCAATTAAGTCAGATATTCCATAAATTCAACTAGATAGATCAATATGAAAAAATGATATCTGATATGATTCAGCCAAATAAAGAAGAATTAACGGCCATCAGTAGTTAAGAAGTTATAACGTACCAATTTAATCAGAGTAAACATAACAAAGTATTTCATTTAACCAACACTCAGAAAAATATGCCAAAAATGCCAAAAAGATCGAAAAACAAGAAAAAAAAATATGAAAACAACCATAAAAAATAAAGAAGGGACACAGAAATTCAGACAATTGAAGAATTCAAACAATCATCAAGCTGAAAACACTGATGCAACAAAAATAAAGAAAAACAGAGTAGAAAGAAATAACCTCGTTATTAAGAAAAAGCTGCAAGCTTTCGCAAGGTTCAACCTTTAATACTCTCTAGTAACGGATTCAATTTTAATTACTTGTAATCCTGCAAAATTTGCTGGGGGAAAAAATAAAATAAAAGGCCCTAATCTTCAGACATGCATTAGAAGTGATCAAATGATAAGCTGAACTACAATCGAACAAAAACCCACCTAGATTATGCCCTCAAAAGAGGAATTGTGCATTGCATATACGAACAACTGCCTGAAATAAAGTCTATAAATATTTATAAAAATCTTAAAAAATATAAAAACTTGAAAAGTTGAAAAAATTGAACATCGGAATTACACCAAAGACTAATCGGATAGAAGAATGGAGAATGAGAAAGATCGGGATGAAAAAAGGAAGAGGATAGAGAATTTACCTGCAATTCTAGAGAGAGAGAGACAATGGAAAATCACCTGTTATCAGTTTCTTGTATTGTTCTTTATGCAATGTATTTTTCTATTTGTATTTCTTCAGTTAACTGTATACGGGACATTCTATAACCCAATATACCCTCAACATTACGTTAAACTTTTGTTATTACTTTTACATAGTACCATTCTGTTGATAATGCTAGAAGGATGTTTCCGTAAATGCGCAGCTCGATTACAGGCAAAAAGAAATAAATATTTCTATCCAAATTTATATATTAAATGATTTTTTAAAAACTGAAACCACAAAAAAAAAAAAAATGACTTTTTTGGAAGTGGAATTAATTTTTTGACTGCATTATTCCCAGAGTCTATTTAGGTAAAACTAGTACGTAACTCGTGCGATGCACGGGACAGAAGTATTAAATGAGTCATTTCCACAAAGCTTGTCCATTAAGTAGCTCGTGCCATTCACGTGAGATATTAAATGAGTGGACCATAGGGTTTGTCCGTTCAGGCATAAAATATAATAGAGTTTGATCATCTATTTTTTTTATGTATTTTCATCAACGTCATTTTTTTTGTCGTAACATTGAACCTGAGTCTAGTAGCGCTAGTCCGTAAATTAATTAATATATTATCTCGCTCACATGTTTATAATAATACAAATTTGATTTCATTATATATATTTATTCCTTAATATAAGAAATAACAATTTTATGTAATCTTGTTCCTCGAATAATACTCATATTATTCTATTATAAAATTTATTGTAATATAATGTCATTATTATTATTTATACAAGTTATAGATGTAGTCTTCTTCTTATTTTTGTTTTATGTAATTAAAAATATTTAATGTATGTTCATATTATTTATTAATGTAATTAATTTAAATTATGTAAATAAATTTAAAGTAATTAATGTATGTTCATATTAATTTATGTAAATAAATTATGTAAATTATGTAAATAAATTTAAATTATGTTCATATTAATTTAAATTATGTAAATAAATTTAAAGTAATTAAAATATTTAATGTATGTTCATATTATTTATTAATGTAAGTAATTTAAATTATGTTCATATTATTTATTAATGTAATTAATTTGAATTATGTAAATAAATTATGTTCATATTATTTATTAATGTATGTTCATATTATTTATTAATGTAATTAATTTAAATTATATAAATAAATTATGTAAAATATTTTGTACAAACATTTTACAAAATATACACAAATGTTTTTTTTAGAATTTAATTATAAATCATAACTGAATTCTATGCAATTATTAATTCCGTCTGATGTTATGGAAAACAAATCATTCGGAAATGTAACAAAATGATAAGGAATTTTAAATTTTAAATGAAACATGTTTTTACTTGAATTCTATACAATTATTATTTTGTCCGATTTTATGGCAAACAATTCATTCAGGATTTTAATGTAACAAAATGACAAAAAATTTTAATATTTAAATTTAAATTTGAAATGAGACATGTTTTTACTTGAAGTCTATTTATCTGATTTTATTGCAAAACACATCAATTAATGATACATGCTTATGTAATCATGAGTTTCTATAGTAAATAATTCGTAATTAAGTTAGCATAGTAATAATTATATAAGAAATTAAAAAAGTAAGCATTTTTAGTTAATTAACCTAAATTGATATACTTAGATAAAATAGTGGTCATTAGTTTAGATTTTGTAACTGTCCAAAATTGATGTATTTTGTAAAAGTAACGGTTTTTGTATTTGGAAAGTTTGTATTATTTATTAGGTAAAATTTATTAGGTTTTATTTATGAGGTAAAATTAAATGAAAGGCTAGCTATTATATATATATAGATTATTAGAACTCAAAAAAATCTCACTAATAAATAAATTAAATATTTCAAAATTTATGATGATATGCTCTTTCTGAAATATCTGATGATTAAATCAAACTACGCGCATCCTATGGCGCGTTCATCAAGCGTTAGTCAGCTTCTATATATAGGCAAGTGCGAGTGACGACCCTCTCATCCGATAGTCTGCAAAAAACTTACAAAGGCATTCAAAGGTAACTTGAATTTCTCCTTTTTAAGGCGATTTTTCATGGTGTTCTATTTTTTAGTTTTATTGTAATTCATCACATGATATCCCTTTTTTGTTCTCATATTATCACCATTGTTTTACTTCTGTTGTTACTTTTGTTGTTTTTTGGGCTATCTGCGTGTTTTTAGCTTTCTAGGGATTTTATCGACTAGTTTTTGGGACAATTTAGGTTTTGGGTCGCTCAAAGTTGAAAATATTTGGTATGAATGATTCGTATAAAATTAATTTCAGTTCTTCATCTGGTAGCTAGGGTTTTCTCCGATTGTATATTTATATTTTAATTTTTGGAAAATTCTTATTCTTGGGTTGTAGTTTCTGAATTGTGTTCGGTAGATCTTCAACGATTTATCCTGGGGACAAAGAAAGATGTGTGCTTGACATGGGTTTTTAGTTCTTTTGGCTCGAAAGTCTGTATTTATCGTCCGTGATTCACCGTGTTTGTATGAATTTTTATGAGACTTCTTTTATGGCTAGTGGTTTGGATTTTACGGTCTTGAGTTATAAATTACTTAATGGGATTATGAAGAATAATAATATATGCCATTGCTTGGCCAATATCCCTGGTAACCAACAACAACAACAACATAGCCTTTTGGAATTTGTTTATACTTTGATTTAGAAATATGCTGGAAAGTTCCTTTCAGTTTCGATTCTCTTATTCACTGTGAGTAGGAAATACTGTGGAGCTAAGTCACTTCTAATGATTTCTGCTGATGTAGAGTTCTTGTTTTTCATTTTGACAGTACTAAAGAATTGTGATTCGATCAAGAGATGGGTAAGAGGAAGTCGAGGGCAAAGCCACCGCCAAAGAAGCGGATGGACAAGCTTGATACTGTTTTCACCTGTCCTTTCTGCAATCATGGCTCTAGTGTCGAATGCCGTATGTAAGTGTTCAGAAGACCTTATCAAAGATATGACGTTCATTATATGTTGTGTTCAATTATAGAAAGGAGAATTGCTGGGTAGCTTCCCTTACACGTGCTGAGTTTCGGTTTTCTTGCTAAATTTGATTTGTTTCCACTTTTCATGTGTCGGGGGAAGGATAAAATCGTTAAAGTAAAGTATTGACTATTGAGGCACAGCAAAAATAGAATTGTGTTACTTGCTTGTTTATAATTTGCACACGTGGTTAGCAGAATCGGGACAGTTACATTTCTGCTCATGTTGTTTTCCCTTATTATGATCCCTCCACGTACAGTATACATGGAAAGCATGAATTAACATTTTTTTCCCTTTTTAGTGACATGAAGGAGTTGATTGGTGAAGCCTCATGCTTAATATGTCAAGAAAGTTTTAGCACCCATGTGACAGGTGGGTGCCGTTTTTGTTTTTGTTTTTTGTATTTTTTTTTTCTTTCTAGTTAGGAAAACTCAATTGCTCGACTCACTTATCATGTAGAATGTATTACTATCTCTCAATATCACCAACCAAAGTTTTTTGATGGAAATAATTAGGCCACTCTGTTTTTCTCTTTAATTTATTGAGGTGAACTAACCTCTATTTCATATTTTATCTGCAGCTTTGACTGAGCCAATAGACATGTAAGTGAATTAATTTTCAAAATTTTCACTTTTCATCCTTACTAGATATTTTTCTTTGAAATTTTCATTTTTCCTTGGTTACAGATACAGTGAATGGATTGACGAATGTGAACGTGTCAATAATGTGGAAGATGACGACTCTTAGAGAGCGGTTGAAGGCTTATTGCTTGTTTTAAAAGCTTCATAAATTGAGTCATGTTTCCATATATGAACCAAGCTAGATTTAAGTGTGAAATTACATGTCTTGAACCAAGCAAATAGTGTGTAAATATTATGAAAATGGATGCAGTTGCAGTGTTGTAACAAGAGGATGTGTTGTAACAAGAGGATGTGCTTGAGAATTATTATATGTGCCGGTTATTTTGTTGTAGTTTGACATGAATCGTGCTTCTTGTGATCCAAGACTGTAAACGAGATGAGGCGAACCGAGTTTGAGCTCATGGTGTTCGAGCTCGAGCTCGAGCTCGGCTCAGCTCGTTTATCAAAATTAACGAGTTAATTTTGAGCCATAATGAGTTGAATTATAGAAATTTATATAAAAATTCTTATTTTGAGCTTAAATTAGTTGAGTCGAGCTTGACTTGTTATCTAAATGAGCTTTCATCAGAACTTGGTTTATTTGTCAAACAAGCTGAGCTCGAGCCTTAACGATTCGATCCGAACTCATGAGTAATTTGTTTCGTTTAACAACTTTCGATCCTCCAAATAGGAAGTGGGAGGGTGAATTCCAAGAAAAAAAATCGTTTTTGTTTGTTTTTCAACTAACATTTTTTTTTTCCAAAAATATAATATTCATCTCACTTTTTACATTAAAGCTACTCTGTTCATTTTACTGTTATGTTTATTAAGATCTCAACAGCAATGGTAGATTTTAAAACCACAGGGCACCAAAAGCCATCAACAAGCAAAAACTCATCACATCATAGATTAAAAAATGTAGTACAACAAAAATCTATACACTCCTGGCTCTACATCACAACTCCTAATTAATTAACTCCAGTTTTTAGCTATAATCTTATTATTTTTGGTTTTGCAACCACATCTTATTATTTTATTTTATGACGAATCGAGTCATCTAACCATTAGGTTGCAGGTTGCTTCACAGTCGCTTATGCGATACAGAAAATCATAAAAGNCTTATCCTGTGATTTTTTGCAGTTCGATGCATTCTCTCTAACTTTGGACAATTTGTCGTTGATTGAAATATAAACGGGTTGAAAATCTCGCGATAAATTCAATTGCTCGTAGATTTGCATGATAAATTCAATTGTACATTCAAAATTTACTCTTACCAACAGGGTTACTTTGTTAAAATCAGTGTGGCTTGGCTTACATCCATGAAAAAAAAAAAAAAATGTGTTGAGAGTTCAAATTTGGAGCATACATTAGGGATGACTGGTGGATATGTGCATAGATAAAACAAGCAAAATGGATGAGTATGCTTTTGTACATGCATCAATATTTTTCTCTAAAAAAATAAGGAAACAAAGCACATAGAATTATATCAATAGTGATTGAGTGCTATTGACAAAAATAGACTTTATGGTATAATTCAGCTGGTTTTGGGTCTAAAACATCTTATGTAATATGTGAATTGGAGTACAAAGAGATTTATCTTATATCAATTAATTGATATAATTTACCTTTTATTAATATATCGAGTATTTGATTCCTGTCATGCTAATTTATTATTATGCAATAATGTCTAGTACTAGCTAGTAGTATAGTATTCTTGTATTACACTGATATTAACTAAACTTTTTATATTTAATAATAAAAATTAAAATTTTTTATTTTAAATTTTCAAATACTTATTAAAACTTGCATTTTTATGTTTATTTAGACTTGTTGGTCCTATATTATAATTATTTCTCTAGCACGTATCATATACTAGACTTAATAGATGAATTTATTTAGCATATAAATAATTAATTTTATGAATGTCCATTAGGATTGGTTAAAAGATAAAAAAAAAATATTAAGTCCTAAAATATATTTGTAATTTGACTTGATAAATTATTTTATAATTTTATAACTTGGAACAGACAGATAAAAGTTCAAATTTACATGCACTATGAACGTCATAATTTGGCACATAAAATTACGAAATATCCAAATTAAACACACAACATTATGAATCATTATAAGTTAGATATTTACACTTGGAAAAATTTTTATTTAGATATGAGAGGTATGTATATATAAGAGAGAAGCACTAATGTATACTTGTGTATGTAAATCCATACAAAATTGATAAATTGACAATTGAGACACAATAATTGGTGCACTTACATGTAATTCCATATGAAAATTGATATATTGACCTTACTATGTGCATATTATCCAAATCCATAACATAACATTTGACAAATTCTTGCACAAATGCCACCTAGGTGTTTTCATTATAATAAAAAATATAACAAAAGAAAAAGTCAAATAAAATAAAATAAAAGAAAAGAAAATAATCATAAAACAATCTAATTTCACACACTCACACTGCAATATCCAACCCCAGATTTTGGCTAATTTGACAAATTGACTCGCAGGTTGCAGCTATATATAAATAAAGTCCCACCCGCGGTACTCACTAAAAGCCCCCCGTTGCTTTTGACTTTTTGACCTTTTCTCTCTCATCTTTACACACACAAAAAAACGCGGCGCGTACTGTGTACTGGCTCCACATGCACCACCGTGAAATGCACCCCGCCGCCGCACCGCCGCCTGCCGAGACCCTCGACGAGATCACCCGCCTCCTCTCCGACCTCCTCCCCTCCGCTGCCTCCGTCACCTGCTTCGCCACTCGATGGCAAGCCATCCGGTCGAGGCTCGCCGCGCTCCAGCCCCTCCTCGCCGAGATCTCCGACTCCCCCCACTGGTCGGAGAATCCCCTCCTACCGCCGCTACTCACCGCTCTCCTCTCCACCCTCTGCCGCACCGAAGCCCTCTGCCGCGACTGCCTCGGCGCCTCCGCCTCCGCCGCCGGCCGCGGCAAGCTGCTGATGCAGTCCGACCTCGACATGGCGGCCGGATGGCTCTCGAAGCAGGCGGGCGAGCTCGAGGTCCTCCTCCGCTCCGGCGTCCTCAACCACTCCACCGCCATTGTCCTGTCCCGCCCAAACCCTGGCTCCTCGAGGGACGAGCTCGCGTTTTTCGTCAGGGACCTCTTCGCCAGGCTCCAGATCGGCGGTCTGGAGTTCAAGCGGAAGGCCCTGGAGTCTCTAATTCAGCTCCTGTCGGAGGACAACAAGTCCGCCGCTGCCGTCGCCAGGGAAGGGAGCGTTGGCTGCCTGATCTCGCTTCTCGATCCCAATTCCCACGATTCCGTCAGGGAATCGGCGGTCCACGCGGTCTCCCTGCTGGCCGCCGCCGGTGATTTTCCCCGTAAGTGCGTGTTCGAGGAGGGGGCTTTGGGTCCTCTGTTGAAAACAATCGAGTGCTGCTCATCCACGGCGAAGGAAAAGGCAGCCATGGCCGTCGAGGCCATCACCGCCGACCCAAACAACGTGTGGGCAATTTCTGCATACGGCGGTGTCCCCATTTTAGTCGAATTGTGTAAATCCGGCACCGTCATAGCTCAATCTCACGCAATTGGAGCAATTAGAAATGTTTCGATTGTCGAGGATATTCGAGCTGCTTTAGCAGAAGAAGGGGCTATCCCTGTCTTGATGCAGCTGCTCATCTCCGGCAATGCATCGGCTCAGGGAAAAGCGGCAAATTGCATATCCATTCTCGCCTCGACCGGTGAGCATTTTCGTAATTTGTTGCTACAAGAAAATGGTTTGAACAGATTACTGAATTTGTTTCAAGAATGCCCGACTGCGGATACTTCAGAACATGTATTACGTGCGATTTATTCGTTATCTGCTTCAGATAGTGCGCATAAAATCCTATCCGGATCGACCCAATTCATAGTACAAATCGGCGAAATCATAAAATATGGGAATGCGAAACTACTGCACGTATCTGCTTCTTTGCTTGCTAAATTATCTATTAGTGATGGCAGTAAGATCTTAATTGCCGGTTGTATGAGTTCTCTGGTGAAGTTGATGGAGTCGGTGAAGCCTGAGGGAATACAGGAGATTGGGGCTAAGGCATTGATATCTTTGTTATCTGTAAAATCAAATAGAAAAGAGCTAGTTAAGGATGAGAAGAGCTTGACGAGGCTGGTGAAAATGTTGGATCCTGTGAATGATGTGGTCCCAAAGAAGTTTCCGGTGGTGGTGGTGGCGGCAATCTTGGCTGGAGGTAGCAAGGGTTGCCGGAAAAGGCTTTTGGCGGGTGGCGTTTGTGGGCATTTGCAGAAATTGGCGGATATGGATGTTGCCGGAGCTAAGAATGCTTTGCATAAGCTATCGGGAAGTCGGCTGACGAGTGTGTTTTCGAGGAAATGGCGGGAAAAGTCGGCGACGGCCACCAGCTGATGAAAGGTAAGTTTAACTTACCAATTTGAATTTTTGGCTGGGAAAGTTTAATGACTGTTGTTGGGATTACAGCTGGTGAATTAAATATATGCTGATTGATTCGTGAAATTTATTGATGGGTAGGAGGACCTGTTTTTATTAGGTGGGATGTGGAATTGAGTTGTAATTATAAACTATGTTTCTAATATTTACCAGGAAAATCAAATTGCAATAAGAAGAATATGGTATTGCAGTACATTCACCTACTATCCTAGTTCACCTATAGAACAAGATAGAGTTAATTACGAAAGCTATGTTAAGACTTAGCTGAACGATACAAGACTCTGGTAGCTCATAGAATTTTAAATACCCCATAAAGTTTTGAAAAATGTATACTTGCTGTTAATATTCATATGGCAAAACTTTTCTCCTATTTTTTCTTTTTTTCTTTTTNACTCTTAGAAAATAATTGTGCCTTTTGGAATTGAACTTGCTGCAGGGATAGTTTTTGGAGTTTCCCTAGTGGTCGATAGGTGTATGATTAATTTCGATACTATCAGATACGGTTTTAAGCCTCATTTATACTGTTTTCTGTGTATGGTGCTGCTGAGTATGGAATATGAACTAAAATTGGTTAAAAATCAAAGTCTTTAGTTTTACTCCATTTTGATTCGTACCCTAATATAAAAGCCCGTTTGGTGCCTAAAAGGGTACTATATACTAAGGTATGGAGTATGGACCATATCTGTCAACTTCCAGCAAAGGATGAAAAATGCATTGAAACAAATTTCATTCATACTGAGAGAAAACTAAATAGTTGGTTTTAATTAACAATAAAGACATTGGCAGAAGAGTTCATCTCTTAATTTTTAGATGGTATGATTTTTAGTTTGTTGGTTGTGTAGCATTAATGTCATGTGAAGGCTTGATACAGTCCAAATCCCAACTGCTTGGATTTATTTGGCTTTTATTGCTGGAGAAGATCATATTTGATATGCTCTTTGGTAGGTAATATAGCTGTCTTTGTTACATTACCAGACAGAACGGATCGAAAGTGATTCGCAAATTCGCATCTAAATGTTTTGTTGTCTTGTGCTTTAGTTCATCTCTTAGGATCTTCTTATGTAAAGAATGTGTTTGTTTAACCGTTAGGCCTGCGTAAAAGTGACCGTAATGAATTCTATTCTATGATTTTGCATGCAGGAAATAAAATAACCAGCTTCTAACTGACAAGGAAGTTACCTACTGCTGCATATTGAAAGCATAAGCACAATAAACAGTTGGTAGTATATATACCTGAAAATTCTAACTCATGTAGTATATATTGTATTATAGGAAAAAGATGATGAGAAAGGGAAAATAAATGCATGGATGCATTTTTTGTGGGTACCCTTTTCACATTTCTTTTGTTTGATAGTTTTTCTTNGTTATTTGTAGAGTGGTGTGTATGTCCAGTGGATATAAACTGGAATTTAATGTGTATTTTATTCATTTTCTGAAAATGCAGGTGATGTCATAGGTGATGTCCTACTTTCTCAGCAGATATATATTCATATCGAGCTGTTTCAAAGGATTTCCTTATCAAATTTAATACTATCAATTTTTACTTGTACGACTCGAAGGTTTTACTAATTCCAAAAGTTTGACTAACCCTGAGTGAAGAATAATTCAATTCAAATAGTGACAAAAGTAAATGAAAATTAGCCTGTCAACATCTAATTTACAAATTGCAATCTTTTCAAATCATCTGCATTGGTGTCAAGCATAAGAATCCATTTCAATTATTACTCATACAAAGAATGACTATTGCTCAATTGAAAAAGTAGTTCACGGGATGAAAATCAAATCCAGTTATCAAGCATTTTTGAAACAAGACATTTTGTTAGGTAGGTTAATTTCGTCATCTTGTTGAAGAAATTGTTCATCACAGTGTACGACGAATACTATTTTTTTGCAAAATTATTGTGCATCTATTCAAATGGTATCTTGAGGATACTTGCGCATTTATATGTCTATGCACTTTTTTCAACAATATTATTGTGAATACTAATTAACCATAATGCATGTTCCGAATTATTTGCAACATGTTTTTGAATTCTTGCTTAAATAATTATTCTCACCCTACTCAACTTCATATTTACAGAAACTTTAATTATTGTTTATGTGTTGTTGATATTCTAGAATAAAATGATTAGTTATATAGGATTTTTCATTTGTAGCCATGCATTAGAATTCTTTAAAATGACTTGAAACCATGGAAAATTATTGGCATTAGCCATGACTTGGTCGTGATAGTCACAATTTCCTATATGTGGTCAATTTACTTTTTTTTTTTCTTTTTCCTTCTCCTNTATATTGGTAGAAGTCATTTTCGTCTTTTTGCAGAAGTATAGCGCATAATTATAACCTATGATGAGCTAGTTAAAAATTGCTAATTCATGGAAGAATACAAAACATTTCATAGCTCACAAATACTTGTATGATAAGCTTAACATGAATTAGGAGGCCAATGTGTTATATAACATATATAATACATATATATTTCTACGGTTAAATATCATACTTTAATTTATATTGTTCGTGTATGAAAGTATGTATATTTGTTAAAAAAAGTAAACTTGTCTAATGATTTGATTAAATTTGTCTGACAATATTTTCATCTTAAATAAAAATACATGACTATATATTGAGTGTATTAGATTTACTTTTGGTTAGATCTCCGTTGCATTATTGAAGAAAAATAAATAAATAAAAAATTGGTCATTGCTTTGACTTATCATCATCACAAAACCAAGTTGAAATTTAGACATTGTTCAACTCACAACGAAAACTTAGGCTACAACTTATTGGCCATTGTTTGACTTACCACGCAAATATGAGAGTATTTTTCATGTGTGGAAAGATGTAATGAAAATTGATGGATTTTCTTTACACATAAAATTTATGCTCTCAAACATCCTTTTAGTCTCCATGCATGCACTAATTAACACGAACAATTTTTTATTTTCATTTTTTATTATGATTACTTAAAATTTAGAATCATGAATAATAAAGTTATAGTCACTGACGTGTTGGTATTTTTATTTCTAATGTTAACACATATATTATCCTATGTATGTACACAAGAAAGAGTAACTCCATACAATACAAATACATGAACCGCAAAAAAAGGTAAGCATTTCGATTTCTTGTGGCTCCACACGTTTTTATTGGTCACATGCCAAAATGTATCCCCTTAACTAAATTCCAAACCCTAGAAAGTGGAAAAAATATGTTATCAACAACAATAATAAGTTGGGGTAGACTATAGATGAAACACAAGAGAACAAATGGTAAGAGAAACACAAAAAGGACTCAAAACAAAAGGAAGAGATTGGAGCAAAAAGAGAAAGGAGCAAAAGTCACGGTTCTGGCACGTTGATTGCTAGTCTCCAAACGCTCCTATCTACCGCTAAATCCTTGGAGGTATTCCAATCTTTAAGGTCTCTCTTAACCGACTCTTCCCAAGTGAGTTTAGGCCGACCTCTACCTCTCTTTACATCAGCGACCCCCTGTAGAACTCCCCTACGCACCGCTGTGGAAAAAATATGTTATCATTTGTAGGAAAAGAAAAAAAGGTTATATATCTTCCAACTTCCATGTGTAAGGAGTGCTTTTAAGTTATAACTTCCAAATTAAGCTTTAGAAAGGTAATTGTTAGTTATATTTTTATTGAGTATGTACATGATGAGCATAATAAGCTTAGTCATAACTTTTTTAGAATAACATAAAGTTTAGTTTATTATAGTATTTAAATGAATTGTGTATTATATGGTGAACAAGAATAAGTAAAATGTTATTTATTCTTGTATCAATAAATAAATATATATACTAAAATCAAATTTATATTAGTATAAATGTGTTAGCAGAATAACATACTAATTAACTTACAAGCTATAGACTCAAATTTAGCGTTCTTGCTAAAAAGACAACACTAAATAAAAGAAATAAAAATTGAATAATCCAATTGTATTGTTTTTGGGGTCTAAACTGACAAGTCATATGAGAATGACTCATTTAACATCACTGTCACGTACATCGCACGAGCTACGTACTAATATATATAAAGAGAATAGTATTTAACACAAATAGCATAAGAAAAAAAGTTGGCAAACATTAATTACTTACTTAAAATAGTAACTTTATAATAAAATATATATATATATATTTATGTATAATTAGTAAAAAAAAAATTGAATTACTAAAAGAGAAAATTTCTTAACTCTATTTTCAATATTTTTAAAAATATATAAAAAAAATTCTTTCTATAATCTTTATTTTATTTTTAGAAAATAAAAAACTAATTATTCCTTCCTTTATATAAGTATCCATTAATAATTAATAAATAAGATAAGCAAATAAATTAATATTAAACAATATAAAACTATACCTTACCCTTGCATCAAATGGGTAGGTGCACTAGTTTTCATTTCAAAATACGAATATTTACTTATTATACAATGATTTGATTTTCTTATTATATTATCATTTGCATTTAATTTTGATATTAAATCACTTTGAAAAGTAAGGAAATTATCTTAATTAATAGGTCTATAATTACAAAATCAATTTACAAAAACCTAGTATCATTTTATTCGGTTTTGCTATGAAGCCAACAATTGGCTCCATAATGAAGCCAACCTTCTATATACAACAAATAAATCTACCATATTATCTGCTAACGAAGGTTACAGATTTGGTCAAGAGTATATCGTCTTAACAATCGAAATATGGTCGAAAGCAAAAATCTCTATTGGAAGGGTCTTCTTCCTAAATAAAATGATATTAATGTTATTTAAGTAATCAGAGAATATGGTAGGTTTATTTGTGGTATATAAAATGTTGGCTTCATTATGGAGCCAACTGTTGGCTTCATAGCAAAACCGTCATTTTAGAACCAGAGATAAAATTGTGCTACGAAATTTATCAAATATATTATTTTTAAACATCATCATATTATTTATTCTCCTATATTTAGTTTTAGCGTAACTACCATTCTCTTTCGAAATTTCACATCCAACTATACACTAATAATATTATTGAATTTGTATATTTATTTTTCAAACCTATTTACTTTTTCAAATATTTCCCAAACGAAATTAAAACCATGTCACTCGTGCCCTAAAATGGCTTGCATATATAAGTTTGTGTCAACATTTCCAAATTTGCAGCACAATCTCCAACGAAGATTGCGTTGACCACATTTACACCGGCGCCTTTTCAAAACTAAAATAGACGGCGATTGGTGGAGGAGATCACAGAATTGCGGCGGTTTGCAGCGCCGCTGGCTGGGTGGCGGCGACGTTCTGCGAGTACTCCTTGTTTTGATCCCTTTAATCCGACTGCAAATCCGAACCCGTTTGATCGATTTTGAATGTGAATAGCGGGAGTTTTTTGGCAAGACTGCGGGTCGGAGTGGCTTTGTCGGCGATTTTTTTTCTTCTTCTGTGGACTTCGCAAGTATAGGTATGTCGTTTCTGTAGCACTGGTAAAATTTTTATATGAAGCTGTTTAAATCTCTTATTTCTGTGATGTAAATCGTAGACGAAATGGTTTTTCGCGAGCTTGGAATGTTCGATTACGAACTCGAATTAGAAATGGATATTGATATGGAGTTTGTGAAAATGGAAGTGATGGTTCAATTGTTGTCGATTTCTCTATTGCGTTTGATCTCTGTGATTTATATCGTTTGTTATGAATGTTTTTTCGGGGAATTTGGCTTGTTTGATTGTGAAATTTAGCTGAAAATTAATATAGGTATGCAGTATGCTGGTATTGAGTGGTCGTTTGATTCGTGGGGGCATGTGGCGTTATGGACTGTTTGCAAATGAAAAGTGGTGGTTCGATTGTTGCTATTTTTGTTACTATGAAAAAATGTTGGACAATCTATTTTGGATTATTGTGAACTGAAGGATAGTATTTTCTGTTTTGGAAACGTAATAACAGCTACCTAATGTTTGTTTTGTGTGAATTTTATTTCTTGTGTTATTGACTTTAGCAGAATCTATCGGTGCAGATGAAGGATTGGCAGCAGACCTGTCAACCAAACGACAAAGACAGTGTTATAGGGAAGCTAATGTGTTTTGATGAAGTGAGGGCCCCTCAGAAGCTCTCCCATGGAAAATACAGAGCACTATCTGAAAGCTATGTCCAAAATTCTGCTTCTGTGGGCCTTCGACGGGGCAGTTTCATTGCTACTGGGCATCAAATGAAGGGAGAATCTGGACTACACATTTCCAAGAGTAATAATGATGGCTTTTTAGACAAATGTGTTGAGTCGAGTAAGGAAAAGGATGCACAAAGCCAAAATTGTCCAAGTGCTTCAAATCATGCCCTTAGATACAAGCAAAAATATGAGCAGGACTCAATTTCAAGTCACCTTGATGAGCTCAGTGTTGATTACATGAGAAAATCATTAGGTCTCCCGCCAGATACAAATACTGCAACAACATTGAAGGCGCATTCCAAACAGCGATACACAGAACTTAGGGATTCGTTGAAACGTGAAAGTGGAAAAGACCACCGTCACGTAGCAAGTAAAGAGATGGTGGTTAAAGGTATTGTGCCTCGTGGATATAGTTGTAGTGCATGCACCAAACATATGGCAATAATCTCTCACCAAGAAAGGCCTAGAAGCAGATTCGAGGAGTTATCAAGGACTGGGCATTTGGGTGACAAGCGCTTAGTGGATGAAGTTGAGGGGTTGGTACTTTCTAGTCCTGATGAGAATGATTTAAAGGGTTACTGCCTTGGTCGTCATCGTTCAGTTGATAAATCATCCTGGGGCAGCTCATCCACGAAGAAAAATGTTGGAAGATGTGAGGTAGCAAAAGAGGCTCGAGAAGTTGGTGTTCATGTGAGGGGCCCAAATCTTGATGAAATGCTTCCTTCGGCTGATAGCAAATCAATGCCAACAAAAAGTTTATGTAGTCCATCCATTTTACAGTCTAGAAACTCAGGGTCTTGCAGTCCTTCAGCTTATAGCTTCATAGACTTTTGGGAGGATGGCTCTCGGAAGAGCTTACCGATTTTTAAATTTGAAACAATAAAAGAGGCCCTCTCATGTGCAAATCAAGATGAAAATACTGAGAGAAATAACTACCTGAACGAGAAAACAATTTCACGAAATGACGTTTTAGAACATAAAGATGGTGTTGCGGTTTGTGCTGCGACCAGTTGTGATATCGAGTTGGAAACGGTTCCTATTATCTCGTCTGCAGAAAGGGAGCATTCTTCTTATGCTCCGGAAGCTTCTGGTGAAGAGGTTTGTTTTGATTCTCCTCCTATCAGTTTTGAGTTACCTGAATTCTGTTGTCCTTAAAGTTGTGTTCACTGTTCCCCACATTTCTTGTGCATCTGGAATGAATTGTTTTTTAAGTAAACCTATTTCTTCAACAATCATTGTTTGAAAAAATATACTACTATTTGAAATTTAACGAATTATTGTGCTACTAATCCCTTGGTGATTGTGTCTCTGCTGAAAACTTTTAATAAGTCGTTGTAAGCTCCTGTTCAATGTTAGCAAAATGTGCATCATTCAGCTAATGATTTTTCTAGCACTGTGGTGGAACCGTGACATCCCAAAATGTGCGTCATTCAGATTATTTTTCTCATTTTAAAGCATGTACAGTTTTATTCCATGCAGAGACTCTTAAATGAATATTCCGAGGAAGAATCATCTTTTTCAAACTGTTCCAGAATAAGCCCTCCGGAGTTCCAGGACAACCTGAAGAAAACCTACCAGCAGAGCCCGGACTCAGTTCTCGAACAATTTGATATTCAAAATTTTTCTACTTCTGAAAATTTTGACAGCATTGGTGGTAATGAACTAATGATCACTAGTATAACTTATTTTTCATAATTCATCAACATTTTGTGTTCTTGTGGTCTGACTTGCTTTTTGATAACTTCATAGGCCTACTGCTGCAACTTGAAGCTTTAGACTTCGATTTGGAAGAAACTTACTCTGAAGGATCAGTGATGCTTGTATCGGGAGATGAAGATTTGGATGAACGGTTGAATGATGTCGTTCATGATGCCGAACTCGTAAAAACGTGGGTTGGGGACAGCAGAAGCAAGATCTACTCTTACATGGTAGATGTTTTAGACAAAGCCGGTTTTTGTGGAGTGAATTCATTTACGGACTTCAGGACATGGCATTCCCTGGAGTGCCCGATAAGCCCTTCTGTGTTCGATGCTGTAGAGAAAAAATACGGCAAACAGACAACCTGGGTAAAGTCCGAAAGACAACTTCTGTTTGACCGTATGAATTCAGGGCTCGTTAGCATTTTCAATCCGGGACTAAACTTTCGTGCTTGTTCAAGTAGCAGAATTTGTTCGTCTTTGAGACGTGATGAGCTGGAAGACGAGTTATGGATGGTTCTAATGGGCCAGGAGAATGAAACGGGCCCTTTGGACAAGTGGTGTGAAATCGAGGAAGGTATTGATATCATTTGTGAAGAACTGGAGACTGCTTTATTTGATGAGCTGGTGAAGGGATTTGCTGGTTTGTGGAATTTTGATGAGTGAGATTTTCCCTTTTCACTTACGTTTTTTTTTTCCTCGGTTTTGATTCCCTAGTATGAGATGTGTGAGTGTGTGAGTGTATAACTGTATATGTCTATATGTCTGTTCATTTCGTCCTTTTCATTTGTCTTGTGAGTATAGCTTAGGCAGATTGAATTACGGATGATTACGCAAAATTTTGTTGGGACCCCAGAAACAATGAGTACGAAGGTGTTCTGTTTTGGCATGGATTTGGTATATATGATGATTGATGTGAGTTTTGAGTTCCTATGTGTATGTTATTCTTGAATGTGGACAGTGATACAAAAACTGAAATATGAAGTTTATAGTGAATCTACGGATACTCGTTTTTGGCTTTTTCTGGTATTCCACAATCGAGAGATGTACTTATAGGTGAATATAATGCATAAAGGGATGATTGTGACAAAACTGTGGGCACTTTTCGTTTCTCTGAGTCGAAATCATTTGCCGGAGGAGAATAACTTTTCCGAAAATGGAAACCTAGGTTATGGTGACCATCTTTATAACTTCCGGACAAAGGCCGCATGGAAAGGGTTGTTGGGATGGTGGATAAAAGGAGAGTAGTAAGGAAGATGATCAAGATTGACATGATCATATAAATGGGAATTTATGTGTATTTGTTTTTTTCCCAATATATAATTTCTCCACCCGAAAATTCAAATTGTTGAACGAGGGAAGCTATCAACTGTCGAAAATCACTTGGGCTTTTACTTTCCTTTCTCTCTCTTAAAAAATCTGCAAATTGGAACCTCCGCAAGGACAAGAAAAATGGCTGAACCTCCGAAACAGAGAGCGCTTTTCTCCCCTGCGAAGAGCCCGTTGTTCATCGGCTCCAATGACGACAAACTTGAACGCGCCCAGGCACGAGCGGCCGCCATCCGGCGCAAGCCCGCCGTCCCTGACGAGTCCGTGTTCTCCATAGACTACCCATGTCTCAGAAACGAACAGATACTTGAGTTGTTTCAGAATTGCATCAAACTCGCCAGTGAAAATGTCAGGGCTTCGTTTTCATTTTTTTCAGAATTAGGTTTTTGTACATATACCTTTTTTTTTTTTTCTGAAAATTTTCTTAATTTTATGTGGGTCGAGCTTGCAGAAGATTAATCAGAAAGACACGTGGGAGCTGAATTTGATTGATCATCTCTGCGACATTATCAAGGTTGAAGAAGAAAATGACACAGAGACCAATTTTCAGAAGGTATAATGAAAAATTGGTCNGATATGATGATGTTACATCATTCTGTCTGTTGAGAGGCTCTTTCTATCTGATAAATGATTTACTTTATTTTCAGAATCTTTTGTTAAGTAAAGAAAAATATAGTCATATACCCCATTGCTTGCACCCTCTGCTAGAACACATTCATTGTTTCAGAAACAAAGCTCCGATCTTATGCACAAATGAAGGTTTAAACTGTTAACTATATTGAGCAGAGTACTTATATAATAGGATTATAGGAGAATATATAGTCCTTAGTTCTAAACCTGACTTTATGCGCATGGTTTGAGTTTGTATATTCTTGTTTTCTCTGGAAAGGAATTTACTCATATGTTGATAAAGCATAAACTTATATGTGATTACCTGATTGTAGGCAAGTTGTACCTTGAAGCGGGTGTTAAGATTTACTCCATGCGGGTGGATTCTGTACATTCGGAGGCATATAAAGTTCTTGGAGGAATTAATCGGGTTGGGCAAGAAGATGAACAAGGTTAGGTTAAGCTTAAATTCATTACTGTTATTTTACTACTTCCAACGTATAAATTGTCAAGTGTATCTAGTTGATTTGAAAAACCGGAATAGTGTGATGAACATTAGGTCTGCTCATTCTCTTTGGAAATAGTTATACTGTTGCCCGAATTTAATTTTATGCTGGACTAAATAAGTGGTTCCAACACCATTCATCCTTTTCATGTTAGTCCTAATTGACAGCAATGCTCGGCTTAATTTCTACATTCTTTATAAGTTTTTTTCCCGTCCTGTTCCCCTTATACGAAGCATGTCTTTGACGTACTACGAGTCCTCTGTGATGTATCAACGTGTGTGCTAGGATGCTTCGAACTTGAGTTGAGCATATCAATGTAACCACATTGATGAGAAAAATACTTCGTTCAATTCCATTCCATGATAAGTCAATTTTTCAGTGGGGTTGCATCTGGAAAGAGCGGGATTTTCGTAATTTGATTGAGTTGTGTAGTTATAGCAAACTTAATGTGCAGTGGTGACATGAGTAATAAAAGGCTAAAAGCTATACTCCTTAACCAGCATCTCTGAGATTTATTGTGTTCTGGATCTTAATTTGCTCAATGATGATTGCTTCAGAATAATCTATAGTTCAGCCGTAATTTTGTCAGTTGGAGTCACTTTCAGTTAGTCACCTAGTTATTGTTTCTTTCATTTGATTCACATATCAAGTCCATAATGTTGCTTGGTTCAGTAATTTTTATGCCTTGCACCACAGGCTATTCCAATCTTCATTCTAATTATTAATGTTTACAAAATGCCCTCGTGCCAGATCATGTTGATGGGGATGGTAATGTCAGTACAGGTCAAGGAGAAAACGATGAAAAGAAAGAGCAGGGAGAAAGGTCAAGAGTTTTGTCTCTATTAGGTCAAGTAACTGATTGGTTATATCATGTAAATTGCAATAACATTTTTATTACCTAAAAGTGGGTAACTTATTTCTGCAGTTGTCACCCTTGTCCACCCTAGAGTCATCTTTTGCTGCAATCAACGTGAAGAAGTTTGATGGTAAGTTGCATTCAAGTTTTTATACTCGGTACATTTTGTGATCACTACCTCTTATGCGTGATATAATCGTTGTTTATTGGTCCTCTTCATCATGCAAAATGTATGATTATTGTGCTTGCATTCCGCCTTTTATTTCATCTGCCTTTGTTGTAGACCCTCTCTACCACCAGACATCTGCACAGCTTGATGAAGGTGGAGCAAAGGGTCTTTTGCTGAACAATCTCGGTGTCTATGGCAACTGTCAGGTCTTCTTTGATTCCTCTGAAGTGCCTGGAAAATTTATGTCTACTGCATCTCAATCTGAGGCGTCAGAGACAATTGATCTGTCTTTTGCCAGAGGTATGTACCTTTGCATTCTTGGGTCCGTTTTATTTTGTTTATTTATTTTCATTCTTTAGTGAAGGACTGTTAGTTCTCCTTGAATATTTTTTTGCTCAGATTGCATTGAACAGATGGTGTCTATATGCTAAACAAGTCTGAAATTTCTCCCAGCCTTGGGGCTATAATAAGTCAACTTGATGACCATAGACGATTTGAGTCGAATTATTCTGGTCAAAGCCCTTCAGGGAAAGTGAACGAAAGTCTTGAAGGGAATGCCAATTTGAATAGTGATGCATTTGGAAATTTCCAGACATGGGATTTTGATCACGATGACCAAACAAGTGTAGCTGATGATGGGAATTATGATCAAAATACAAGTTTTCCAGATCAGCAGGGAGTTCCTGATTTGGTAAATTTTTTTCATTACTTAAACTTCTGAAATAAAAATGTGTATGATATAATGCTTTGTAATTCTTTGCTATATTTGCAGGCTGATGAACAATTGAACTTCGTTAATGACTGATGACTATGATAGAGTTGAGGAAGTTGATAGCTATTTGTTCTTAAGTTTGGGGTTTTCAACGAAGCAGAATGTATGGGCAGGTCCCAATCACTGGAAATATAGGAAAGTAAAAGGTTGAGTTTTATAGGTTTTGATTAATGCATTTCCATTTCTTTTTTTATTTTTCCTTTATTTATTTATTTTTTTTTTTTTNGTGGACATTGATAGAAGATTTCTTTTATAGAGCCTGAGGCTCCGGACATGGAAAATGGGTTGCCAAAGCCTAAGAAAACGAAAAACAAGAAAGCAGATTTGGAAATTGATTTTTCAAATGCTGTGGACAATGATTTATCGCATATTTTTGCTCCTCCAAAGAACTCAAAGTCCCTTTTGTTGCCAGCCAATAGAGCACCTTGTAACAATACAAAGCTTCCCAAGCACCCTCTTATTAAAAGGCACGGAAAAAATCTTTCTCTCTCTAAAAGCAAAATCCCTCTTTCCGTAAAACCCTAAAACTCCACCCGTCCATTGCCGCCGCCTCCCTTCCGCAGGCGCCGGCCTGCCGCGACGATGGCCTCACTGCGGGATCGGAGTATCTTCTTCCCCGACGGCCCCTGCAGATCGGCGAGGCATTTCTCCAGTCCAGGTGGCCTTGGCGGCGTTTTCAGCAGGGTCCCGGCGAGGTTGGTGGGCTCGTGGTCGCCGTCGTCGTTTCGCTGTCCATGGGCGGACGGCGGCTGAGTTTCGCGGCGGTGTAGTTCCCCTGGTCCATCCCGCCTCCTGGTGCTGGGGCGGATGGTCCGACGGCGGGGGAGTTGGGATGCCGGTGGGAGGTTTCCGACTGCTCCCGGCGGTTTGGTGTTGGGGGGGCTCTCTATGTGAAATTCGGGGTGAAGGTTGTGGTGGTTCAGGTAGAAGGATGTCTGGCTCGCCCAGGTTTAGTTAGGCCTCGTTCGTAGATTGCAGTTTCTAGATCTGGTTTGTCGGATTTCTTTTTCTCCTATCGGGTCCGACCGTGCGCGTGGCTAGGTTGTCTTCAGCGGTTGTGGAGGGCTTTAGTTGTTCTGTTTTTTTAGTTTTGTTTAGGCTTGTGATTTTGTGTTCATGTGGTGTTCTTGTGTTGGTGTGGGTTTTGTGTTTTGATTTTCTCCTTTTTTGGAGGAGCGTGTTATTCTCCTCTGGGGAGTTCGTGTTATTCTCTTGTGGGGAGTTTGTGTATTCTCCTGTGGGGAGCTTTTATTTTTTCTTGACCGTATTGTAGTGTGAGTTGTGGTATCTAGGCTACCTTGGGTAGTCCTCTTATTCCGGCTAGTGAACCGGTTGTAATTATGTGTTTAGTGAATGAATTCTATCGTTTCGAAAAAAAAAACAATACAAAGCTTCCAGAAGATTGTCACTACCAACCGGAGGATCTTGTGAAGCTTTTTTTGTTGCCTCATGTTTTGGTAAGCTTGGATAATTACACTTCTCCCTTAATATCTTAATCATACCCTTAACTTCTCGTGTGGCCATTGTTTACATTTATTTTTTTCGTTTATTCTTGCTGCAGTGCCTTGGCAAAAGCAGAAGAAAAAGATATGGTTAGTTTCCTCTTATGCTAGTTTAAAAAATATATATATGAATTTCCCAATATAATTTCAACTCGGCTGGTGAACTGTATTAATCTTTAATCCGTACATTAAGATGAAGAAAGTCGATTAAGAGATGAATATGGTGCAACGACCTCATGGGATGATGACAATGACTTTGGTGATGATTTTGATGATGGACATGCCGCCTATAGTGATGTCGAAGAGCCCAACAGCACGCTTGTTTCTCAGCCACGACAGGTTGGTTGCTTCAATTTGACATGATTCGTTACTACTGAGCCATTTAAGCTCGTATAATATTATATAGACTATGTTTGGTAATCAAATAAGCTAGCTTATAGCTTATTTGGTTAGCTTATAAGCTTCCTATATTCAAATAACATTCGTTTGGTAAAAAAGCTCGAACTTATTTCATAA